TTCCTAGATACAAGAAGAGCAGTGTGGCTTCCGGCCGGGTCGAAGCACCTCTGACCATATATTTGAACTGCGCCAGATTGCTGAGAAATCGTCGGAGTTCGCCCGTCCGGTGTACATTGCTTTGAGAACCTAAAGAAAGACTATAACCGCAACCCGCGCAACAGTCCATGGGCACATCTACGAACATATGGGATCGATTGCCAATTGTTACGGGCCATCCAATCAATACATGCTAATATCAGATGCAGCGTCAGAGTAAATGGCTTATGTTGAAGTAGTCAAGGAGAGGATAGTCAAGCGCTGCGAGAGTGACAAGTTAATCAGCGTAGATGTCGAGAGGAGGAAACTGTTGTACGTAGATGACCTTGTTTTGTTGAAATCTTCTGAAACTGATCCCATAGCACTCTGAAAGGTTCGTAGCTGCGTGCGACGTGGCCGGCATGCGTAAGAACGCATCTAAAACGAAACTCCTAGTGCTTTCTCGTTCTTCTACCCGTTACTCTCTTCAGATAAACGAAGAAGCAGCAGAATAAGTGAGGAAGTTCAAATATCTTACTTAAGGTCATGTTCACTAGTGACGGAAAACTGGAGGTCGACAGGCGGAGAGGAGTACCCGGTAGCATTCTGTCTGAACTAGCCCGAAGCACTGTAACTAAAACAGAAGTGAGTCTGAAGACTCTCTGAAGTTTTAGGCTTTTTTTTCAAATTGATTTTCATCCCGAAACTCACCTACGGTAATGAATGACAAACTTCAATCTGGAGTACAAGCAGTTGGAATATGCATTCTGAGACGAATGGCTGATCTCAGGCATCTCGATATATTCCGGAGTACAGATACCTGAGAGAAAGCCTTGGTACAGCGGCTGCATCTCCAGATTGAGAAATCAGAGCTGCGATGATCTGGCAGGTGCTGCAAATGCACAAATGCAGATTTTCAGAAAGGCGAAACACCTACGACTTTTTCGATTAACCGGTCGAACACCCGGAGACGATCAAAAATAGCCTGGGCTTGTGTCTCGAAGCACTCTGGTCGAGATTCGGATTATTTTCTGCCAAAGCTCAAACGCTGGCATAGTCAGGAACGTTGGAGGCATTATGACGTTCATATGACTGACACGTATGTCTCCGCGATCCGAAAGAATCAGCGGTTATCAAAACTGACTGCCTGCCTGTCTGAAATTTATGTTCAAACTAATGCCTGGCTCCGCTTGAAACGTCTTCGGCAGATACAGCACTCACTTTAATATGAAATTTAATCAGTTTATACTTCTTTCTCTGCCGCCACCTTTAACCAGCCCGCCAATGATATTGCCGATGATGCCACTGCCTCCAGAATTTCGACCTCCGTAATTATCATCATATCCTAAACACTGACCAGAAAACAACACAAATACATAGACAGAAACAAGCAGGCAATTGCAGATAAAAACAAAATGGCGCATACGAATGGGCAACGATGAGAAAACATGGCGGAAAAGCAACGAAATAATATGATTTCATGCTTCGACAACGTGGCACAAAGGCGAAGGGAACCTTTGCAGGCAATGAGGAATAGATCTACTGCTTCTAGGCATGTAGTAAACACATGAAGCTAAGAAAGAAAACCAGAGGTGATTTAAATGGTGAGAGACAAGCGGTTGTTGCAGCAGGCACTCCAAATGATGCCAGTAATCATCAGCACTCTCATATGAGGAGTCAGAGATGGTTCTTTAACATTAAATGATAGGATTTCATGTGAAACGTCAAGCTATCAAAATTAGTCGAACAACCTTCCGCTATGAGTAATTCCGCCAGGTTTATACAGCACAATCGCATCGGCCATTGCTGATTGAGACCTACAGAGCCTTTCGAGCAAGCTACCGACCCATGTTGATAAGGACATTAGTAACATGAATGCAAAACCACAGTAAAGAACTGTATCGAAATATCGACCAGAATAACTTCATGAATGTGATAACCAGAATAACCTGTAAGAATGTGCATATTTACGCATTTAAGTAGGCCACGGTTCAGTGGTACTTGAACACATGCGGCGCCAGAAACATCTGGTGCCACGTTGATCACCATAAGTATCTGATGCTTACCACTGACAGTGTTTCACCAAGAACAGGACTTTCATACGCTAAAGCATAAAAATCAAAATAAGGGATGGTACGCCGTAGGTGCAAAACTCCGAGATCCAATTTTACGGTCTATTGCATGACCCTCTTACTTCTAGTTTCCTGGGGACATTCAACAGGCCGTGGCTCCATAACATTTGACCACCTGCACTGCTTGAAGCATTATGCACCATACTGTTCGCCAGAGGGATCTGACAGTATTCACGCATGACATTTCAGAAGCTGGAAATTTTTACATGCTGCCGTATAAACATTAAATAAGGATTCGCAAACCGGGGTGCATTATTTGGCGTAGAACTTCTCAAAGGCCAGATTTCACTGAGTGGTGCACCAGTTTGCACCAGTTCCTTGCTCATAGCTGCCTACGGGACAACTCCGTTGCATTTGAGCACCTTAGTATGCTGAAATTCTCAGAGGGGGCCGGCGCATGTAGCCGTGAAATATGCATCAATTAACAATCTTCGGCAGAGAGACTCATATTTTAATCACTGTATAATGCAAGAACGTTTTATGAAAACGTTGATTCAAGAAACCAAGCAAAGAGCATGAAGGGATAGTTTCAGTAAAGCAAAGGGCCGAGTAGCAGCCATTTGGCTGAAATGACTGAACGTTGAACTTGTTATCGAAAGATTTTAAATTCAAATCATGATCGGTATCCTCAGACTTCCATATCTTA